ATCATAAAAGCAAGACGAATTTACTTTGGTGGATGGAGTGACTAATGCCAGGCACCCTCTTCCAAGGCTTCTCACGCATGCATTCTGGGTTATTCACACTATGGAACTGCATCCATGTGCGTCTCTGAGAGTTCGGTTGCTCACACATGCAAGCGTTCAAATAAACATGGAGTCGACAATGCGGATGCATTTGGAACACGTTCAAGGCGTGCAAAGTTTTATCCTGGGTCTATTCAGGTCTGTTCACATCAGTTATTCACACTACCGACGATCGCAGAGCTTTTTAAAAAACTTAGGTGGAAACCCCGATATCAATGATCCCGGATTAAGTGGGATTTTTGGCAACCCCCTCAACCTGGGAGTTTATCACACGGGAGAAATCCCGTGCGGAAACAGGGCTTTAAATTAAACAAAATCCGCAAAAGCGGGTGTTTTTTCAGACGACGTCGCTGTTAAAAGGAGGTTAATCTGAACGGAAATTAGACAAAAACTACTTCTTTTTACTTTCGGGATCTTCCAAAACCTCCTTTTAATTGCTCTGGAGTTTATCACATGGGGAAACCCCGTTGAGAAATTGCTTCCGCTTTTGCGGTTTTTTTCCAGTTTAAAGCAGCGTTTCTGCACGGGACTCCCCGTGTGATAAACTCCTTAATCAGGTGCGTTTGGGCTGTGTGTGAACAACCCAGATTCATCCTGAATTATTTTCAGTGTGAATAACCCCACTCCTGCACCGTTATGGCACATTCCCAAGTGGCAGGGCAGAAGAAAAAGAAGATAGCAGGGCTCTTTGAAGTGCATTGCCCAGGGATTTTCATTTGGGTGCCTGCTTCAGAATTGCCAGTCTTTGTGCCCTGCCTAGATGATTTGGGAGCGGGAGCTGTTCCCCACCCCTGCCCTCCATCCATGAGAGATTAACAACCACATAACCTTTGAGGCTCACTCAAGCTTGCAAGGAAAGCAAAGGTTCCTAAGAAACAGTTACCTGCCTCGCTTGTCTCACTTTGTTGTATATTAACACATCCTTCTGTAGGCAGAGGGAGCTGCAGTTACCATCCATTGTAAACAGACACGCAAACTCAGATGTTTCCGCTACACCCCCGACTTGTATCTCCACCTCGAAACAGGTACAGCCACTGGGGTGATATGCAAACAGAACGCTGGACAAAATCTTCACACTCCACCTTTTTGCAACACACAAGTTTAAAGAATCCAGAGATATATATCTCCAGTGTGTCCTGGGACCCAGGTGCAAATCTCAGCTCCTTTGCTGAGAAACTTTCTAAATTTCACATAGGATTCGAGGGGATTGAGAGCCAGCGTGGCATAGTGGTTTGAATGTTAGACTACAACTCTGGAGCCCAAGGTTCGAGTCCCAGCTTGGCCATGAAACCCACTGGGTGACTTTGGGTGAGTCACACTCTCTCAGCCTCAGGGGAAAGCAATGGCAAACCATCTCTGAACAAATCTGGCCAAGAAAACCCCAAGCACCTTAGGGTCTCCATGAATGGAAACGACGTGGAGGCACACACAAAAAGTGATTCCCCCCACCCCCCAAAAAACCCCATAGAATCCTAGATTTGGAAGAGACCACAAGGGACACCCAGTCCAACCCCCCCTACCATGCAGGAATCAAAGCACCCTCAATAGATGGCCGTCCAGTCTCTGTTTAAAAACCTTGAAAGGAGGAGACTCCACCACTCTGCGAGACAGCGTCTTTCACTGTTGAACAGCTCTTACTGTCAGGAAGTTCTTTCTAATATTTGGGACTTCAGGGATTCTGTTTGATTTGGGGGAGCATTCTGCGCAACCCTTGGATAGTCCCAAGCCCAGAAAATTGGCATCTGGACCTTCCACAGTTGTTCACTCTTGCTATACATGTTCACCTGAGAGTAAACTCCACTGAATCCGGAGAGGCTTGTTTTGATGTCTAGGCTTCTGTTTGGAGTAAAACACCCATAGGAGTACTCTGGTAGTTTACAAAACAGCCTTGTGCCCCAGCCTCCCCACATAAAACTAATGTGATAATGCACAGGTAGCAGCATTGCTATGAGGAAGGAGAGCACAGTTGTTAAGTACTTTGCATAGCCATGCTCCTGCTTTGAAGTTAATGACAGAGTACTGCAATCTTTTTAGGAAAGCCTTTGAAATATAGTTAGCCAAGATGCTTGTTTACAGTCACATGCTACAGTCATATTTTATTGTTGTTGTGTGCCTTCAAGTCATTTCTGACTTATGGCAACCCTATCATGGGGTTTTCTCGGCAACATTTGTTCAGAGGAGGTTTGTCATTGCTTTCCCCTGAAGCTGTGACAGTTAACTTGCCCAAGATCCCCCAGTGGGTTTCATGGGTGAGTGGGGAATCGAACTCTGGTTTCCAGAGTCCTGGTCCAACACTCAAACTGCTAGGCCAGTTTCTTTCTCACATATGACATTATCATGTAGACAGATCCTTAACGGGCTGCCATGTGTACAACACCATCAGCGGCAGAGATGGCGCACTGTGAGAAGAGAGTGTGAAGGTATGGGCTAAAGTCCTCAGGTAATCATATGTGAAGCTGGTCATCTGTAGCACTTGGCCACTTGGTCAGGCACTTTTATCACTCCTCCTTCAGATGTATGTGGGTGACTGGTAATAACCACTTCAACATGTAGGCATCTGACTAACATCTCCAGTTGTTTTTCTCCTGTTTGGTTTGTAACATCTTGCCTGATGAAGAAGTCCATGGAGCTTCAAAAGCTTGCAACATGTATATTGTTTTTTGTGGGGTTTTCGGGCTGTGTGGCCATGTTCTAGAAGAGTTTTTTTCTGACGTATCACCAGCATCTGTGGCTGGCGTCTTCAGAGAAAAGAATCTTTGGCTGGCATCTTTTCTCTGAAGATGCCAGCCACAGATGCTGGCGAAACGTCAGAAAGAAACTCTTCTAGAACATGGCCACACAGCCCGAAAAACCCACAAAAAACTATGGATGCCGGCCATGAAAGCCTACGACTTCACAAACAAGTATATTGTGCATTTTGGTTGGCCAATAAAGGCATCACTGATGGATTTTTGTTTGAATCACCTCAACATGTGCTCTACTGCTTCAGCTGAGCTGTTTTTCACTTGGTTGCAGATAAGGCTACATTTACAACTGATGACCTCACAGTAAATGGTTAGCTATAGTCACTCTGTGACTACTGTCCTATGCACACTTACCTGGGAGCAGGCTGCACTTGAACACAGAGTTAACTTCGTCGCAAATGTTTACATTACACGTACAATCATTTTCAGTTTAGCGATGAGTTTCAAATCAGTAACTAGGATCAGAATTGGCACAGTCCCCTACTGAGTGACAGACTCTTAATGCTGAAAACTGGAAGTGATCAAGCATTTGACACAAATTCTATGCAGTGGAGAGCAAACTTTTACATGTCTGTCATACAAGTAAATATAAATGAGTTCAGTTTGGCTACCTCCAAGGTAGGTTGGCATAGGATCCCAACCACAGTGATCTTTTCACATGTCAAACCTGATATGTGCTCATGGTCAGTGATGAGAGGTGTACTAAGCCTATTGATGGCTTGTTGAAACAAATGGAAGATTTATTTTATTTCCTGGGGAAAAAAATGATTCAGAAATCAAACAGGAAGTGGCTCATAGGAGTTCAAAAGGGAAGGTAGAAGACAGGTACTAGCACAACATTTCATTGTACATGACAGAATAGAGATTACCAGAGCCAGAAAAACGAAACTTTGATCTAAGGCAAGCTTCAGCAGTAGTGATTATCTTACAGCCAAGATAGCTACACAGTGAATATCATTATAAACTTATGTTTATCTTTTCATCCTTGTTTGCATATTCCTAAACACCAACTTAATTTTGTATCCTAAAAGATCTTTTACCCTCTTTGTGTCTCTGTTAGCTAAGATGATCATGCTTTTTAGCCACTACATAACATATTCCTAGATCTTGAAGTTACAAAATTTCAAATTGATCAAATGAATGGAGAAGCTAATCTTGTCCTGGAGTATTCCTGGAGTACTGGAATTAATCTTATCCTGCAGTACCCCTCATTCCTGGAGATCACACAGGATTTTGGGCTGAGTGGGTCACTCAGTTTTTGTCAAGTGGAAAATCAGATTGACAATCATATTCTATTCCTTGTTTTCTAGTCTGACTATATGCATACCAGTCCCTTTACATCAGAACTGTCAGGGATTGCTGAAAGGCCACATTGACATCTTAGCAGGAGAGCTGCCCTACCCACGACTTGGCACAATTTCAGCACATTTTTTGCCCTCTCAGGGTCCAGAAGAAGCCTTCCCCCCCCCCAACAGGCGGTGACCCAGGTACCTTCTGGGGCACTGAGTGGCATTTAGAGTTAACATTACCCTTATTTTTTAATAATAATAATAATAATAAT